GGGGCTGTGAGGACTGGATCAGGTTGGGGCGTACGCATGCGCAGCAAAGAGAAGCCGGGAGGGCGGGGCGGGACGTCTGCACACGCGAGAGGGCGGGGAGAGGGAGGATCGTTCTACGCATGCGCAGTTCACAGAGGCAAACCCGGAGGGAGAGAAAGCTGTTCGGCGCACGCGCAGTTTAGAGGGGCCGAACCGGTCTGCTGGGTGGGGCTTGGTGCCCAAGGGGGCGTGGTTCAGCCGTGAAGGGGGTGGGGCCTGTTGGAAAGACTGGAGGATCATGGGCGGGGGTGGTAGAGCCTGCGAGTGGGAGGTGGCAAGCAGCTGCTCCTGAGTCTGCAGACAGCCCGCAGAGCAGGGAGAGGAGGCTGCCTCACTCACCAGCGAAGCGCACAGCATGTTGCTGGTTGCAGAGAGGCTGGGGTAGTGCTGGCTCATGTGGACCTTAGGTGTCCTCCTCCACGGTGGCCTGTTGCCTTCCACACATGACATGGGAGCAAGCAGAGGCATCATGAGCACCTGCCATGCCCTGGGCAGTGCCAGCAACTGGCGCGCCAGGACTGAGGGGTGTCTTACCTACGCCAGCCTCCCCACACTGTGGTGGCAGCTGCTGCTGTAGCTGAAGGGCAAGCTCCCTGCACACCAGCTGCAGCAGGGTCACCAGAGTGACCTCCCTTGGGGAGTCTCCTAGGACAAGCGCAGCCCAGGCCCAGAAGCCTTTGCAGGATTTCATAGATTTCACAGATATTAGGGCTGGAGGGGACATAGGAAGATCTTCGAGTCCAGCCCTCTGCCCTAGGGGCAGCAAGTCAGCTGGGGTCAAAGGATCCCAGCAAGATAAATGAGGGGCAGGCCAGCACCCAATGCGTGTGTGTGGTGGAAGCAGAATGGTGGACCCCCATGGGCACTTTGCCATGGGAAGTACAGCTCCTTGCCCAGGAACGTGTCTGGAGGGGGTTGGGCAGTGAACAAGGTGCTGAGATAGCCCCAGGGAGCTGCAACTGGATGTGGAGTGCTGGCTGCCCCCACAGCACAGGCTCCTTGGGGGCTGCTCCTGGTGTCTTGTTCACTCCCCCCTCCCCCCCACCCCCATACACGACTGAGCCAGAAGCTGTACCTCCCTTAGCAAAAATCCCAGGGGCCTGCCAGGCTTCTGTGCCTGGGGTGTGCCTACCCTAGCAAAGACTCTGGGGATGGGGGGTGTTTTGGTAGCCCCTTGAAGTGAATGCTCAAGGCAGGTGCCCTGCTGCCCCCACTAGTTACAGTAGTAGGAGTCACAGGACACCAGTCCTCTCAAAAGCCAAGGAAAAGGCATCCCCATTAAATTCCACTACAAGTGGATGGTGCAGCTCTTTGATTTCTCTTCTCTTACATGCCATGATGAACAGTGAAATAGTTAACAAAATGTTGACAAATGACTAAATAGGCTTGTGAGCCTGCCTCTGTGGGTTCCAGGCAGTGGTAGTTTGTAGGTTGGGGCAGGCAATTATTTTGGGCGGAGGGCCACTTACTGAGTTTTGGCAAGCCATTGAGGGCTGCATGACAGGCAGCCAGGAGCAGATAAATATTAATTTTCTAAACTTTTTAGGGGCCCCATGGGCTGAACAGAATGGCCCACAGGCCGCATTTTGGCCACCCCTGTTGTAGGTAGAATATGCAGGGCTGCAACGATATTTTTGGTTTTTGTTTTGCAATGTATAATACATGATGTTGCCTTTTACCTGAATCCAGCCAAGTTCCTAGTAGTTGTGTCTTAAGGCATCATTGTTATTGGTGGACTTCACTGGTGGACTTCACAGGATTTAAAGAGAATTGTTTAAATGGGAAGTGTAGAAACACTTCTATATACTGAGTAGTCTTGTATCTGTCACTTCTGTCACTTACTGATGAAGTTTAACTGATGTTCTGAAATAGCTTCCTACATTTGTTCTGCTCAGTTTCATGTTTGCAAATTGATTCTCAAGCTTTGGGGGCTAAATCATCTCCAACATTTTCTAATATGTGGAAAAGCTTATAAGAAGCTAATGTGATTTATGCTTCTAGAACAAGACAAAATTCTCTAAGGGGTAAAAATTTTAACAGATGTCTGCAGCAGATAACTATGTAGCAATAAAGTACTTTAACTACAAGTAGTTTAAAAATAAATTGGATTTCAACAAATCATTTAAAATGTTCCCTTAATATCACAGACTAGAACAATGAAGTCCATATGCTATCTATTTTATACCCTAGTTTTTCCAATAATTTAATATTGCATCATGTCAGTCTTAGATCAGCTGTTGTGCTGTGCCAAGTGGAACACAGAAACAGGATAAATCTATGTTTCTGGTATGAGAATCAGAAATAAAATAGCTATGCTCATATCTTCATAGTAGTGATGATAACTAGGCTCAAGAGGGTGAGAAACAGAACTTCACATTTACAAGTTGATTTTTTTTAAAGAAGAACCATTCCATTATCCTCATAGTCTAGCATATTTTCTTTTCTATATCTATATCATTCATTGTAACAATTTTGTGCCTCCTCACCTACCATACATTTATGATAATCCTGCAAAAGCTTACACTCTTCCTTAGCTATGCACTGTGTAAGAAGAACTACTCTCAAAGCATAAAGCTAAGAACGTGCATAATTCCAGCAAGACCAGAGCTTTAGAGGGATGCAATAAATGAACCTACTTATGTTATGTCTCCTGTATAGCAACAGGGGCTGACATTTTTACAAGGGTGCTCCTGCAATACCTACATACCTAAAGCACTGATAAACTAAAGTCCTTCCCTGAATAAGCCTGTACTTGCGCTTATCTGAATCAGGTACCTAACACTACTGGAAAATATATGAAATATGTTGTATATTTTTTTAAGTAGCCTGTGATCTCATAATTGATGATTATAATACACATGCATGAAGGTGTAGAGCTACAGTTTGTACTTTTGCACTTGCATTTCTAGCTCACTTTAATGTAATATCAATTTTGATTTATACCACGGATAAAATAAGATGAGAGAACCAACAAAACCTAGGTTAGCGTACCCTCTCTCCTCCCCCTTCCTTTTGTGGGAGATAATATTGACAAAGAAGCCAACCCTATGGTATGAAGTTATAATTATCACTTGAATTATCAAAGGAAGTAATTCAACATCGTTGCCATCTGTAGGATGGAATTTCCAAGACAACAATGCAACTCATTACACTATTAAAATGAGTTATATCTGGCCCAGTAATACATGTTTAGGCCTTAATACACAGACCTCCATTTGCAAAACTTAAGGAATTTATGCTTAGGATCAGGTATGATAAAAGACTGCAACAAATACAGTACAGCTATGTTATAGAGCTAAGTGATTCCTGCTGTTAGACTTTTTTAAAATTTTCATTTATGTGAAAAATGAACCAATGTACCTAAGTTTTAAGTAAACTCAGTATTGTTTTGTTTTAGCACTCATGAAAACACATTCACAAAGTTAACTGATTTGGAATCTAAACTGATAGATGCTTCTAGTAGTGTATATATTTTCTTGTTTGCAAGATAGAATTAGGACTTATTTTGAATGTAAAATGTAATTTTACATGCATTTTTTAACACGGGTTTAATCATTAATATATGTGAAGGTACATAGATCCTGGCTTTTTGAACCCTGTTTGTACAATCACTGTGTTATTCTGAAGTCAGACAAAAGGCACAAAACCTTATGAATCTCTGATTCAATTAATCTGTCAGGTGTGCCACTACCCTACCCTCTATACTCATAGATTCACAGATGGATTGGAAGGGACCTCAACAGATCATTGAGTCCAACCCCCTGCC